AGAAAGAAAGAAAGAAAGAAAGAAAGAAAGAAAGAAAGAAAGAAAGAAAGAAAGAAAGACTGAAAAAAAAGTGATGAAAAAAATCATTCTGTACCAGACAAATTTTGAAGGTATAGTCTATAGGATTTCCTAAAATATAGGATGTGAAGAATTATGGAATAATAGGAATGAAGGACGACTGCAAGATTTTTGGCCCAGACAAGTAGTAAGATGTTATTGCCTTTTTTTTTTTTAATCAACTTGAGCCAAGTTGAGAGTAGAACAAATTTGGGATGAAAATTGGAGGTTAGAATTTGGGTGTATCCCACTTAATTAGACATCCAGTTGGAAATTTAGAATAGTTTGTTGGAAATATGTTTGGATTATAAGAATGAGGCAAAGATGGAGGTCTACATTTGAGAATTTTCAATTTATCTTTATACTGATATGTCTATGTGTCTACATAGATATTGATATAGATATGTATAGTAACTAAGAGGGTGGATAGATCATCAAGAGCCAGAATTTAAATTAAGAAAAAAAACAAAAAGAAAGATGAGGATGTGGACCACTCTAAAATAGAGTTAGAAAGAAGGCAGTCAGGGAGAGTGAGTAAAGTAAAAGAATAACCAACTTAATAAAGGATTTGGAAGCCAGCTCTGGTGCTTGTGCCAAAGTGGAAGGAGTAATCAGCTGGGGTCAGTTCAACCACTGGCTATGGTAGGATTTTTTTTTTCTTATTTGTTTGCTTGCTTTTGTTGTTAATGCTGTTTTGTTTTCTTTACTAAATTGATTTTTAAATCATTGAAATCTATTTCATATGCCTGAGAGCAATATTGAAGATAATACTATCCAAACTACTTATTAAAATTCAAATAATATAGATAGGTTCCTCTCCCTGAAAAAAAAAAGTCAAACCTAAATATAGACATATATTATTCTGAAATTTATTTAATATGCAAATTAAAACAATGATTAAGTTTTAATTGTGTTTGGAAAAAATGGTGACTTACCTAGCTTCAAATCTGTCTTAAGTTTAAACAGTCAAAGCTAGCTGATTTATTCTGTTTGGAAAGTAAACACATTAAGAATTCATTTCCCTCAAATTTTACCAATGCTACAGTCCATGAGGAAAAAAAAATGCTGATCAAACTTATAAAGGCATTTTTCCCATTATAAGAATTTAATAGATTATTAGAAAACCATAGAAAGGGGCGCCTGGGTGGCTCAGTCGTTAAGCGTCTGCCTTCGGCCCAGGTCATGATCCCAGGATCCTCGGATCGAGCCCCGCATCGGGCTCCCCACTCCACGGGAAGCCTGCTTCTCCCTCTCCCACTCCCCCTGCTTGTGTTCCCTCTCTCGCTGTATCTCTCTCTGTCAAATAAATAAATAAAAATCTTAAAAAAAAAAAAAAAGAAAACCATAGGAAGTATTAATATTTCACAGGTCTGGTAATTTCTTTGATCAAATCATACCCTTTGATTTATAGCAAAAACAGTCATATACTTACCAAGAATGAAATCAGTTAGCTCTGCCCTTGTAAACTCTCAGTGTATCAGTCATTCTCAGATCAAGGAAAGGGAGAACTCAAACCAGTTTTATTAAAGTGCTGAAAAGTGGTAGTCAAATGAACATTTCTTCAAAATCTTATTCTTATTCTGTGTAGTCTCAGTATGCTTTTCTCATAGCAGTTGTACATTTACAACTTACAGGTAGCTTGGTTTGTTGTGCTGAGCTTAGTATTTAAAGCATGGTAAACCCAGGCACTCAGTGTAACTATCAATTCCCCTTTTCTGACTCAACATTTTTTTTTTTTCTAAGCAGGTGTTGCACGTACAGTCATTATAGGCCTCTTTTTAATTTGTTTACTTATTGCCACTTATTCTTCTAGTGATTATAGAATGAAGTGATTATAAGAGGTATGAATAGATATCGAATTCATTTTTCTGACTACTTTAAGCACTCAGTGTCATCCTCCTCAAATATCTGTCTGATTCATGCTGAAATAGATCTAGCATTGGGAAAACTAATTACTTTCTTTTTTTAAATTTAATCTAATTTTATTTTATTGTTATGTTAATCACCATACATTACATCATTAGTTTTTGATGTAGTGTTCCATGATTCATTGTTTGCGTATAACACCCAGTGCTCCATGCAGTACGTGCCCTCTTTAATACCCATCACTAGGCTAACCCATCCCCCCACCCCCCTCCCCTCTAGAACCCTCGGTTTGTTTCTCAGAGTCCATAGTCTCTCATGGTTGGTCTCTCTGATTTCCCCCCCTTTCTTTCTTCCCTTCCTGCTATCTTCTTCTTCTTCTTCTTTTTTTTTTTTTAACATATAATGTAATATTTGTTTCAGAGGTACAGGTCTGTAATTCAACAGCCTTACACAAAACTAATTACTTTCTAAATTGAAAAGTGAAACTTTCTAAATGAAAACTGAAATGAAAAACATTGTTTTCTGGGAAATCCCAATGATTAGAAAAATTTCAGATATTTCTTAAGTGCAAAGTATGTTTTATTTTCTCAGCATCAAATTGAACTTTAATATGTGTTAACTACTGGTGGTAAAGTTATTGAAATAATCTTCAAAAATTTTATAATATAGTAACAGGATACAAAAGTTTGTTCATAATTGATATTTGCTATTTTAAAAAAAGGCTTGGTAACAGACTAGTTGATGTTAAATTTCTATATAAATTCCACTCTAGGAACCACCCTGGGCATGATATTTGCTCCTTAAAAGATGAATAATAAAAGAGAAAGAAAAGGATAATTCATGGCACAGAAAATGAATAATATGCTACCCCCCTGTGGAGTTTCTATCTTTTGGTTTAGGTTTTATTCTCCAGATTAAACTAAGGCAAGTTTTCTGGAAGTCTTTTAAAGATTTGCAAATAATTATTATGTACAATTCTGGCTTTCTCTCTTCTCCTTCCTTTCTATGTCTTAATTTGTCCATATTCTGTTTTCTGGACAAGCCCTGTCATTAGTAAAAGTTTACATTCCCTAAGGTTTCTTAACTCCAGTGGACATGTCACTAGTTCAAGAATTTCTCAAATATACAGTGACTTTGAATCTCCTCAATAAAGTTTTCAATTAAAAAAACCCCAAACTCCTCTAGTTTGTTGGTACACATTTTAAATGTCACCCAGATTATATCCCATGAATTATCTGATCATGGAGAAAGAAAATCAGAACTATTACTTTTCATTCTGAAAACTATTCTATTGATGAAGGAAGAGCGATTTAGATTTTTTTTGTCATATACATAATATTCCTTACATATACTTCATATACTCTCAAATAAAATTCATTGGTTGATTCTACAGAAAAAAAACTGTACAAAAAACTTAATCATTTACAAGCATATTTATAATAGTTTATATTTCAAAAGGTCTCACATCCTATTGATGGATAAATACGAGTAGTTCAATAAACACTTGTCCATGTTTAAGTGGCAGAAGCAAAACACCATTACTTATACTAAAGCTCTTTTATAGTCTTACTATATTTAGTTCCAAATCACATGCAGTAAGTTAGCTTTTTTTTTCCCCTGAGTGAATCATGTTGTGCCTATAAAGATTTAAAAAATTTCTGTTATAAGTGAGATCAGAACTGCTTCTAGAAATTAAATAAAATGATATTTATTTTTATAAATACTAGTTTATTTCATAAAAATACAAAAATATAAATATACATTTATAAAAATATGAATGAATTAACACAAAGACATTCTTCAACTAAATAAATATGGCAGTAATAGTCATTCCTATTTCTTTAGGGATATATTTTTCATATTAATTTACAAAGCAGTTGCACAATGTTTAATAGTAAAGGTGACTGTAAGTCAGTTAAGAAAACATTTATAAAGTCTTTATATTTAAGGAAAGGCACAAAAAGCCTTTATGTAATTTTTATTGATTATTGATGTGATATACTTTCCTTCAGAGATTGTTAGGCAAAGAGAGTGAACTGGTTATTATTACTTTTTTTTTAAATCTATATCATTCGTATTCATTCACAGAAACTTACTGATTAAGCAAACCCTTACTAAGACAACACCTACGTATTGTTTCTAATTTCAATTTTTATAAAAAATTTCCTCCAAGGAAGAGAATGCAGGCTGCTCAATCTAGTAACAAGGAGAGTACTTCCAAAAACATGGATCAAGTCATATAATACTCTTAATCTCAGTCACTGTCATCACCCCCATACATGTCGGCAAGCTTTTTAAAACGAGGCCCCCAGTCGCTGAGGTAATCATAATCTTGGTTACAATCGGCTGTGAGAGACTCTAAAGAACTGAGTGAATTTGCTATGGAATCATTCCCTTCATAGGCATATGTTGCCAGTGAATCATAAGGTGGTGCACTTGGGTCTGAGTCATTTTCTTTTAATCTTCTGTGGATAAAATCTTGTACATCAATATTTTCCCACAGAGGCACAGTCCTCCTTATCTGAAATATAGTTTCAGGCATTACATCCCTTCTAAGTTTACTGTCTTCTCTTGCTTCTGGATTCCTTAATGTGCCGATATCGAAAGCTTGGGTGTCTTCTTCCCCACCACCTTCATCATTGTAGGTCACGATGTTGTCCCGGACATCGTCTTTTGAAATTATCAGAGGTTCCTTTTTTCTCTGCCGCTTCAGTGCAGCAAACAGTACAACTAAAACTATTAACAACAACAACAACAAAGAGAAAATAGTGAGAGTCCATGATTCAGGTTTAAATGAAATATAGCACACTTTGCTGAGGGAAGTTTGTTAGGTATGAGAGATGCTGAGATTTGTTTGGATAAAGAGTAACTACCCTACACAAATTCAGGGTGCCTTGGGCCAGTGACTAAATGTCCTGTATTGGTAAAGGAGCAGATATTACAATCCCTTTATTTGCTTTCAAGACTCACTCTCCTATAGAGTTCTGGCATTGCAAAAGCCTTATTCAGTTATGGCTAATTCATTTAGCCAGCTGTTAATTATGTGATACCTCATTCCTCTCAACAGTATGCTTGCTTAAAAATACTAAAATTCTAAAGCTACAGTCATTATTATCTCAAGAGAAATTGAGCAACAATTTAATATTTTCTTAATGATGCAAGGGCATATATGCAAAACATTATTCATATATATGCATACATATGCATCATATATGTGTATATATTATACACATGCATATATATGTGTGTGTGTGTATACATAAATATATACATGCTACTTATCTAATTCCTTCCAGTAGCTCATATCTGTTTAAATTCCTTTATTGACTTGGTTTTGAAAACCTACTTAAAATCTGAAATATAACTCTATAAATGACAATATAAAATTCAAAGCCTAACTTATCTTTAACCTGTACTCATCTTATAAGACAGCTCAGACTAATTATCTTGTTACTAAGGATTTCCTTGACTTGTACAGTTGCATTGGAACTTTCTGGCTAAAATGTTCATTATAATCCCTCTAGCCACTATATTGTTTTTATTATTTACATACCATGTATCAGGTTAACTGTGAACTTCCCCACATAGAATATACTTTCTTGTTTTTTGTTATATTACTGAAATTTAACATATGCGTATATGTGACAGTGAATGTATGCAAAATAAATACGTTTTGCAATTTACATATATACTTAAAAATAAGGAAAAATAAAACATGATTTCCAAAATATAAATTTTCCATTGGAAATAGGCCAAGTCCCTAATTTTATATATAAGAAAAGTTAAGAAGTAAAGATAATCTTGCTAAAGCACACTTGCACATTGCAGGGGAGAAATAAAAAACAGGTTCCCCTTACTTTAGGCAGCTAAATGTTTTGTCAATACTATTTACGTTTTATTAAAAAACAAGAAAATGTTGGCTCAAAAATCTGTCATTTCTTTTCTCAATTTTTGTATTGAGATTACACAAAGTAAACTCATTTACATTGAGACTGCATTTCACCATGGCCCTTGAGTGCCCTATATATAACTCCTTTAAAAGCCTGTCCAATGATATTGTCATATTGGCCAACACACTTTCCTTAGTTCCTACTAATTGGTAGAAAGAATAAAAAAAAAAATTCATTAGAAGCATCTTTAGTTAACTTCCACAGAATAGGTTATAGGTGCTGAGCTATATTCAGAATCATCTTGGGAGACAATTAAAAAAAAAAAGACCTTTTCAATAAAAATGGAACATATCTGTACTCTCCCCTATTAAAGGATGAAAATAAATTAATTAACTCCAACATAGATCTGAAATCTACCAATCTAGTGAATCATTCAGTTAAAAAAAAAAGATTCCTTTTAAATTTCATATTGAATTAATTTATAAATTCTCTACTTTCCCCCAAATTTCTATAAATTCTGACTATAAAAGAACAACAATATAGTCAAATTATTTTAAGGGTTTCTTAGCTAATATAATATTTATTAACTCCCATAAATGGACCTTAGAACCTGTTCTGAGTTTTTTCCTCCTCTGTTGGGTTAAAATTATCTACTTCATTTCCCTAGGCTGAGGTTATTAATTGAATGGAATTTAGAAAGGTTAAGATAAGGAATAGAAAAAAGTGTATCATTATTTTCATTAATTTGTAACTGAAATTTAGTATTTCTATTATGAATATCAGGATATATAGTTACTATAGTGATAGTAAGAGTATGTCTGACTATTAAATCAATAGAAAGCACAGATATTTTATATTGCATTTTAGTTATGACATATCTCAAATGATCATTAGACTTGCACTAGAACAAGGCACGTATGACAATAATTAAGCACATTTAGCTTTTGTTTCTTGTTTAATTTGGATACAAATATTTCCTTTGTCTAATATATCCTATCCTTATTAATTTAAATTATCATTCTGAATAGTTCCCATAAGCTTCATCTGACTTCCAAGGTGTCTAAGGAACCAAAAAAATTAAAAAGTCCTGCCTCCGATGTGAATCCTCGCCTTTGCCTTGTAACATAGACAAACTCTAAGAACTACATTTCTTCAAACTGTAATAGGTAGGTCTAAAATGTCATTGTCTGTGCTATATCACTATCTTGCAAAGAGCAGATTCTCTTTACTATAGAAACTTAGAAATTAGTAACTGTGCACAAACAACAGGTGTTGGTGAGGATGTGAAGAAGGAGAACCCTCTTGCACTGTTGGTGGGAATGCAAACTGGTGTAGCCACTCCAGAAAACAGTATGGAGGTTCATCAAAAAGTTAAAAATAGAACTACCCTCTGATCCAGCAATTGCCCTATTAGGTATTTACCCAAAGGATACAAAAATACTAATTCAAAGGGATACATGTACCCCGATGTTTATAGCAGCATTATCTACAATAGCCAAATTATGCAAACAGTGCAAGTATCTCTCAACTGACGAATGGATAAAGAAGTAATATCCATACACAATGGATATTACTCAGACATAAAAAAGAATGAAATCCTGTCATTTGGAATGACATGGATGGAGCTAGAGAATATTATGCTAAGTGAAATAAGTCAGAGAAAGACAAATACCATATGATTTCACTCATATGTAGAAGTTAAGAAACAAAACAGATCAACATAGGGAAAGAAAAAAGAAAGAAGCAAACCAAACATAAAACGGACTCTCACCTATAAGAGAACAAACTGAGAGATGCTGGAAGGCAGGTAGGAAGGAGGGATAGGTGAAATGGGTGATGGGGATTAAGGAGGGCACTTGCTGTGATGAGCACCGGGTGTTATATGGAAGTGTTGAATCACTACATTGTACACCTGAAACTAATATTATACTGTATGTTCACTAAGTTGAATTTAAATAAAAACTTTAAAAAAAAGATTAAATCACAGCAAAAATGCTTTAGGAACTTTGATAATGAAACCTGAATTGGAACGAATTTTAACTAAAATAATAGAAAACCACTCCATATATAGGCAACCAGTTGGGAAGGTGGAAAACAAGAAATGTGTGCCTTCTATATTGTGTAGGGCAGAAAGGTGGTAGACTTTTCAGAATATTGAAGCAGCCTTCTAGGATTTCTGCAAAGAAAAAATATTATGCAATTTAGTTTCATAATGTTCTAGTATCTAAGCTTATTTTGGGGGTGCTTTTGTTCCCCCGTGTGTGCATGCATGTCTTTATATCTGTGTATTATCTTAATATAGAAATCTTAAAAATGAAATTTGAAATATACATATTTCCATGGTGTTCTAAATTAGGAAAATAGAACTATGTGAGCAAATAAAACAATATAATATCAGTAGCACTTAGCTGAATGGTAAACCAAACTTTATTTTCCATGGGGATAGAAAAATATTTTACATAAGAGTCAACTTTCTAGCAGCAGTCCTGAGATGTGGATTGGTGGTAGGTATGTTTTAAAGCGCTTTGAGAAAATGTTTTTCTAAATAGTTGGATCATTTTAGCTGAGAGAAATGTTTTCCTCTCACTTTCATCAGTCTCCCACTGAAGTCTTGCAAGGATATCTGGCAAAAGAGATTTCATCCAGATAGCCTGAAAGGATTTGCTGGTTAAAGGAGCCAGCACATATGAGCATTGGAACATAAATTTGGCTGGCTCTCTTGCCCTAAGCATAAGCATTTTGGATGAATATTTGATGGAAACAATTTTGGGGGAGAATGTTTTACAGTGGAACAACTGTTTAATTGAATTAAATCGTTGTCCTGTTAGGGCATGCCCAAATAAAACATTTGCTGTTGAAAGCATGACTTCAGAAAACATTGCATGAGAAGATATGACCACGATGTCATAGTGATATTTTTAAAAAATGAAATTAAACTTTTAACTTGCACCTATATATAACAAATTGTATGAATAAAAAGTTTATCTTATCTTGACAATTTAAATGCACTTGCCAATTAGGTGTCTAATTTACATATCTTAGTATTTGTTAGTAATATGATTTGTAAAGGTAGTCTTTGGTTTTGAGAATAATGGTTTAAAAGGAAAATTCTGAAATAGACTTATCTAAGTTTGAATGCTAGTTAAAACCTTCCTAGATGAGTGAATTTGTAGAAGTTATTTAGTATTTCTTGAGAAGAATCAAAGTATTTATCTTACAGAATTGATATGAAAATTAAATCAGTTATAAAATTAAATATCCTTAGAACAGTGACATGGTTAGTTAGCACTAAGCGGTGTAATATAAAATAGATTTTAAAAATATGTGTCTCTTATAGCATTAGCTATATTATCTCTGCCTTCCATCTCTAGAAAGCTAGACCTATCCTCAGAGAGAACTCAATTTTCTTTTTCTAATTGAAAGAACCATTTTATTTTTTTTTCGTTTTAGTTTTATTTTATTATGTTATGTTAATCACCATACATTACATCATTAGTTTTTGATGTAGTGTTCCATGATTCATTGTTTGCATATAACACCCAGTGCTCCATTCAGTACGTGCCCTCTTTAATACCCATCACCAGGCTAACCCATCCCCCCACCCCCCTCCCCTCTAGAACCCTCAGTTTGTTTCTCAGAGTCCATAGTCTCTCATGGTTCGTCTCCCCCCTCCAATTTCCCCCCTTCATTTTTCCCTTCCTACTATCTTCTTCTTCTTCTTCTTTTTTTTTAACATATAATGTATTTGTTTCAGAGGTACAGGTCTGTGATTCAACAGTCTTACACAATTCACAGCGCTCACCATAGCACATACCCTCCCCAATGTCTATCACCCAGCCACCCCATCCCTCCCACCCCCCACCACTGAAAGAACCATTTTAATAAAAAGTTAAAAATGTCAACCTTTAGCCCTAGAGAAGTGTGCTTTTCGGTTGCACCATCACTGAACTAGAAGGGAGAGACTTCTTTGAGTGAAATGAGCATTTGGAGGTATAGCTTACCGAGTAGAATGATGACACAAAGAAGGATGGCGATGAGTGCCCCTGTGCTCAGGCCAGCCGCTAGGACCAAGGCCTCTGCATTGCAGGACTGCATGTTTCCCTGATTATCACAGGCACACACACGGATAGTCAGCGTGCCGGTGCTGCTCTGAATTGGATAATCATTGTCAAAGATTAAAATCGGCAGTAGATAGGTGCTCATTTTGTTGCGGCTATACCCATCTTTCCGAGTCACGATTCCTGCTGTATTATCTAGGAAAACAAAACAAAAAAAAAATGGGCGGGGGACTCAGACCAGTTTTTAATTTTGCAGCTGAAGGTCTCAATTTCAACTTTAAAAATGTTCTGTACCTTTATTATCTACAATGGTGAAGTTCGGATTGAGAGGAAATTCTGGTACTGGCTCAAAGAAAAATTTGTGGCCTCGGGGAGGATCATCTTTGTCCATGACACTGATAGTCTGGATCAACTGAAACCAAGTCAAAAATTAAATAAAGGACAACAAAGAGCAACTCTTGTTATACTACATTTTATGTTAGTGTTTGTGCTTTAAATATATCATTGACTTATTAAAGAAACAAAAAACAGGACATTTTCAGAAATTATGCCAAAGCTTTTTATGGTTCTTTGTAATGTAACAATTAGTTAAGGATAAAATATGTTCATCAAGTATTACTGTGTAAGGTATCTCTATGAATCTTTGTCTGATTCTTGGCCACTGGAATATCCAACCTTAAAGAAAATTTTATCAGTCCAACATCTATCCTCTTTTAACATTGTTGGAAAGTACCTGTCTGTTTTATTAACAATTGGTTACCAATCTGTTGCCCCCACTAAATAATGATTGTCTCAAAGGCAGAGAACATAACAGATGCATTTTTAAAAAAACAAAAGTGATTAGCACAACTATTCTTACAGATCAAGAACACTATGAATATTGTTTTGGTAAAAATAAGCAATATGCCACATGATACCAGAAAGCAAAAGATTTTAAAGCTATGGGGCATCCTAACTACAATCATATTGCTTATTTTATTCAAAGTATTTGTTTTTTTAATGGTATTTGCAAAGTTTAGAAAGATATACAAATAAATGCTTTTCAAGTTTCATAAAATCAGTGTCGAAGTTGAGAAATCACAACACCTCTTAGCTGTGCTCACTATAAGTCAGAGGTATGCCATAGTGTGAGGATGGAGCATCAAATAACAGGTCAGGCAGAAAAAGTCCATTGAGCATTTCATAGTGGAAAAAGCACTAAGCTACACGTCGGGATGCATGTTTTTCTAGTCACAAGTCTGCCATCTGTGTGACTTGAAATCACAGCCATTTAATTCCTCTTACTTTCAAATTTCTTTTCCACCCAAACAGAGTTGCACCACTTCCAGGTATAATAGTGCAACTTCTGTAATGAACAATTATTGGAATTTCACAGTGGTTTGACATACCCATTGTTTTGGTTATTGTTTACCTTCTATAGCCATACTAACCTGCATCCTCACTAGTCAACACTTTTTCCCCTTTAATTTAATATTAACTATGATTTCATTCATTTTATTGACAGAGAGGCATGGACCTTACTTTTCTTTGTATAATGCTTCTGAAAGTGCACAATTATTAATGCAAACTTAATGCACATTTTCTCCTTAGAAGATTGGATCATGACATAGAAAAAATGCTTTTAGTACTTTAATACTTTTGTTTAGCCTCCTGTTCTAGATTGGCAATGATATCTAATTTTAGTAACATAAAATATCTTATTTTTAGTAATATTTTAAATCATAAACAACATCAGTCCTCTGGTAATATGGCTGAGTTCTTGAAATGATTAGATGGGCCGCTGTATACACATATTTTAACAGAATACGTAGCAGTAGATTAAAATATATTTTCAACCTTGTTAATTTTAATAAGGAAATTGTTTTCCACCAAGTATATGAACAATGACAGAAATGTTAATAGTAGTATATATTAAAATAATTATTAGTTAATATCAATATACTTTATCGAATATTAATTTTTAATATGTACCAATTAAATGAATCAACAAAAGAAAAGCATATTAATGGAAAAATAAGTAAAGATTCTGTATATGCTATCGTCAATTGACTTATGTCTGTCTAAAATATATGTTCAATTCCTAATTCCCAGTACCTGTGAATGTGCTCTTATTTGGAAACAGGCTCTTTGTAGATGCAATCAAGTTAAGATGACGCCATAGCAGATTAGTGTGGGCCCTAAACCAATGAATGGAGTCTCATAAGAAGAGGGAAATGTGGATACAGAGAGTTGGAAAAAGAATGTCATGGGACAGTGTGCACAGAGATTGAAATACTTCTTATAAACCGAGGAATGCCAGTGATTGCTGGCAATTACAGAAGCTGGGAAATGGCAAGAGTCCTGACTGCTGACAGAGGGATGGACTGCTGACACCATTGATTTTAGACTTCTAGCCTCCAGAATTGTGTGAGAGCACATCTCTGTTGTTTTAAGCTCTCTGGTTGGTGGTAGTTTTTCACAGTAGCCTTCGGAAACTAATACATCTGTGGAGATTATTTCAAAATGGCTACACATGTATGAAAAAATGTTCAGCCTGAATAATCTGGGAAGAATCTATGTTAAAATTATTATGAGATGTTACTATTTGGTGGACACTTAAAGTCTAGTGTTCCAGTAAATAGGCAATCATCCACTAGGCATATGACCTATTTGGGGAGCTGTTTGGAGGCACTGATGAGTATTTATATATAAAATTTAATTATTCTTACTTCAAAGGTTATATCAAAGGAAAGGAACACCAGGTAGTGTATAAATACAAATGTATTATAATGCTCATTATAGTGCTATCTGCTAGACTCACATTGTGTTTATAAACCAAATTACTATTAGTAAGTGGATAGTTGAATAAACTAATTAATGTATAGCTGTGCTAGAAAAATTCAGTATCAAATTAAAAATAATCATTCACTAAATTGAGAGTATGTCCATTACATGTTGCAAAGTAACATGTAAAAAGAAAAAAAAACAATTTTTAATCCAAATAACTGTGTAATGATTCTTTTTTGGCAAATAATGATAATACCCCATTTTTATTTTTGTGTATGTAAGTGGAACTCTGTCTTGGTCTGCTTGTTTGGGCTGCCGTAAAAATCACTGCAGAAATTAATTTTCTCACAGTTCTGGAGACTGGAAGTCCGAGATCAAGGTACCAGCTAGGCGGGTTTCTGGTGAGAGCTCTCTTTCTGGCTTGCAGACAGCTGCCTCCTTGCTACATCCTCACATTGCCTTTCCTCTGAGTGTGGGCAGAGAGAGAGAGAGTGTGATCTCTCTTTTGTCTCTTTTTTAAAGGACAGTAACCCTCTCAGATCAGAGCCCCAAACTTATGATCTCATTTAACATTCATTGCTTCCTTAGAAGCTCTGTCTCTAAATACAGCCATATTGGGGGTTAGGGTTTCAAATAAACATTCGGTCCATTGCAATCTTCAATGTAATAAAAGGAGGACAGTATTTCACTTTTATTTTCTATATTTAAATAGGCACAATGGAATTATATATGATTCTTAAGATCCATCTACTTTTTCTTTAAAAAATATCTAAATAACTGGTTAAAATTTCTTTCAGTGAAATTTGTGCAGTTGCTGTCATTTGTAAAATACTATATTGGGGTCAAAAATGAACATACTCTGCATTTGCTTAAAGTTACTTAAGAGATCTCATATATTAGGGGGACTTTACAAGAGGACATTGTAACTCTTCTACTATCTCTTTTTTATCTCAATAATATGGAAGTTGAAAAATCACAAAGTATAATTTATCAAACCAAAATATCCTGCCTGAGAGATTAAAAGAGGAAAAATGTAACCAACAAGACAATTATTGTGATTCCCTTTATACTAACACGGAACAGTTTCACTTTCATACTTCAAGTTTTACTTAGGAATATATTTCCATTCTATTCTTGAGTATAACTCAGTATGAGCATAATTATGAATCCAGGGAGGAACTTTTTATATATATATATGTATATTTATTATATACCCAGTATATAAATTTAAGTATATATTATAACTTTCCCTATTACATCGTGGTTTCCATAATAAAAACAACTTCAGAAGTCATCTGTTTGGATCACTGTGAGTGTTTTCGTAAGGGGAGATGAACAGGTGAAAAAGAGGATTGATAGGAGTTTGCATAAAAAAGATTTTGTGCAAGTGAATTGATATAATGTTATCTGCCTTTGTGAAGAGGAAATATTTTTTTAAAGTTTATAATAATTTTATTTACCTGCCCAGGTTTTGCATTTTCACAAACAAATGTTTCATAGTACATGGCAAATTCCGGAGCATGGTCATTTATATCTAGAATTCTGATGAAGACAGGGATGTGGCTACTTTGTTTTGAGTTATCTGCAACGAGAACATGTGTAAGACTTCAGTCTCATTTACAGAGAAGCGGTGATACCACTCACCCCATTTGTAACTTAGCAACGAATCATTTCTGCGGTATTCACTTTCTCAATTGGATTGTTGATGAATAGCTCAGCTTTCTTACATGGTCCAGATGCAAAGTACGATTAAGAAGAGGAGACTATGACTGAGAATGAAGTATTATTTGTAAGACATAATTTTCTCAGATTAATTATTTTTATGAGGTTATATTCTATTTCTCTCCTAGAGTAAGGTGTAAAAGAAAATCAAGTTTAAAAAGTGGATATTTGAGAATCATTACGATACTGTAAGTCTCCAACACAGTCTGCGGTTGCTAATGAGAAAGTGACTTCCCTCAAGAAACAGAGTCTACTTAATGCTATTATTTTACCACTTTGGTGTTCAGGTGGATGTATTCCCCACTCACTTATTTCTGTGGCAGTAATGGAGATGTTGTGCCAAGAAGAGGACTCCCGATCAAGGGGTTTCAAAGTGAAAATAGAGCCATTTTCGGAGTGAATGCTAAAAATCCGGTCCATATCAGTATGCCGATCAATAGAGTATCTGGCAGGAAAGAGATTCATGAATCTAGGCATTAAGATTATTAACTCATCTACTGTTCCTTAATGTTAGAGGCAGTTCAAGCAATGTTGTCCTAAAGTCATGACCAGTAAAATGCCAACAATTTTCACGAATTTTTATTTAATACAATTGTCGTGTAGCCAATTTGATATATCCAGCCTTTTCCATCATTACTCTTCTGTGATTATGTGTCCTTTAGAGTTATTATTTAAGCTCATGAATCCTTGTGGCAACCTTTAAGTGAGTTTTTAATTGTCACTTGATTTACTTAACCTATCATAGACCTGTTGCAGTGCTTTAGACATGTTAAATTTGATAAAGTCAATTGCATTAGATAAACTGAAATTATGCTAAAAAACATAAGAACATGTGTCCACAGAGTCCTTATGACTATAAGTGAATAGAGAGAGGCTGTTGTGAAGTACATTGCTCTTGAACGGCTCTCTATTCAAGGAACATCTCAGCTGAATCAAAGGTTATCCTCCAATCTATTCCTCTGACCTTGTGCATATAAAAATGAAATGACATATTACACAGAGTTTTATGACTCTTTTCATCAAGGCTGGATATGGAAACTGTCACCATAAACTTTGTTATCACTCTATGTTTCGCAAAATAATGCCTCCCCGCCTCCCCCAAAGGATGCCCACCTCCTAATCCCTGAAATTTGGGACTATGTTACTTTACATGGTAAAAGTAACTGTGCAGATGCGATTAAGGTTAAAGTCATTGAGAAGGGAGATTATTCTTGATTATCTAGATAGCCCTAAACTAATCATATAAACCATTTAAAGTGGAAGAAGAAGGCAGAGATGGGCTCTAGAGAAATGAGATGGGAAAAAAAAAAAGAGATTTTAAGTATGAAAAGGACTTGACCTCTCACTGCTGGCTTTGAAGATGGCGGAAAGGGGCCACATGCCAAAGGACACAGGCAGCCTCTAGAAACTCAGAATGAACCTTGAGCTGACAGCAAGAAAACAGACTGCAAAGAACTGAAATCTGCTAATAACTTGAATGAGCAAGGAAACAATTTCTGTCCTTCAGTTTCCAGACAGGAATGTGGCCCTGTCCACACAAACACCTTGACTTTAGTCCCGTGAGACTCATCCCAGATCTCTGACCTATAAAACTGTAAGATATAAATTTCAGTTGCTTTAAGTACTAAGTTTATGGTAATTTGTTATGACAGCAATGGAAGGCTGCAACATACTCGTAAGAAAGATCTTTTAAAAGACTAGCTTATAATAAAATCTTTTAGTTATGTCAGGCCATATTAGGCTATACTAACACTTTACATCTGTTTGAAATTTCTGCTGCTGAGTATCTAATTAAGCCATAGAGGAAAATAAGTGTTTTTTAAACATTAATGTTCATATGAATTACATTGGGATCTTGTTAAAAACAGATTCTGATTCAGTAGGTCTGGTGTTGGAGCTGGGATTTTTATTTCTACAAACATCCTAGGCCAATTGCATGTTATAAGTCTATGGACAAGGCTCCTACAGCAAGGTTATGTACCATGGAATACACTGATTAGAATAAAGACAGAAGAAGGAAGACAACTAACAGACTAACCAACATGTGGTGTAGTTCTCATTTTTCTAGGTATCTTATTAAAGTGACTTAGCAGGGGCGCCTGGGTGGCTCAGATGGTTAAGTGTCTGCCTTCAGCTCAGGTCATGATCCCAGGGTCCTGGGACTGAGTCCCGCATCGGGCTCCCTGCTCCCTGGGAGCCTGCTTCTCCCTCTGCCTCTCTCTCTCTCTCTTTCTCTCTCTCTGTCTCTCATGAATAAATAAATAAGGAAAATCTTTAAAAAAATAAAAATATAAATAAAGTCACTTAGCAAATTAACTCCTTTTTGATCTGGTGAATTAGGAAATTACAACTCCCATTATTAATGTAATATATTCACTATCAGGCACTGACTTTGACAAACATAAGTAATAGATACTGAGCAGCCAGTGTTCTAAACATTGTGAAACATTTGTAATTTTAAAAATATTGGATGAAAATCTATTTATCTAAATTCTGTGATTTTTTGTTTGCCTTGGTTGTTTTAATGAAGAACCCATGACTTAGTCTATTGCTATAAGAACTATATTGAAATTAAGAGATCCATTAGTAAACTCAGATTTCCAAAATAACTGTAATAACAACATCATGGGGTTTGCCTAATTTATTTTCTGCTAAACTTTATCAGATGAGTTTCTCAGACTGACAGATACTATTTCAAAGTGAGTATTTGACCGTGTGGGGGGGAAATATATATATATATATAATATATATAAACATTTTTATATATGTATTTTATATATACTTTATATATACTATATTTTATATATATATATATATACACACTGGATTTTAAAAAAGATTTTATTTATTTATTTATTTGACAAAGAGAGGGAACACAAGCAGGGGGAGCAGCAGGCAGAGGGAGAAGCAGACTCCCTGCTGAGCAGGGAGCCCCATGCAGGGCTTCATCCCAGGACCTCGGGATCATGACCTGAGCCGAAGGCAGAGGCTTAACTGACTGAGCCACCCAGGCGCCCTTATATACTGGATTTCATCTCAAATGTGGAATACCTAAAAGCTTTACATAGTCAGTTTTAGGTTCCTTTCTCTACCTAGTTCCAAAATATAAAACCAGCCCAGTCACCTTCTTGTCCTTTGGAAGGGTTGTGCAATGGGCAATTAGAGCCACAGGAAAATGGTAGTATCTTCTCACTTCTTGAATAATCATAATTATAATTTTCCTACATGGTGTTATGAAAAAAATTGGGGAGATTTTTGATATATGGTCAAATTATGGATTACATAATACATGGTCCCTGCCTAAGAGTAGCTATACTTGTGGTGTGGGAACTCCTAAAGAGATAGAGGATAACTAGAAACAGATACAAAAATAAATACATAAAATACATAATGGTGTATATGTATATCTCCTAGGAGCAAAAATTATGTCAGGTTTTAACCAATAATTCATTGTGAGACAAGGATTTGAGGTAGATCTTATTTTTTTAAAAAAATTAATGTACTAAAATTGAGGATGGCAGTAATATTAAATTTTCAGTTTTTAATCTCTATTGCTTAATAAATGCTAAAATGGAAAAAGAAATACAAAGCTTCCTATCTCTAGGTGTCAAGCCTCCTACAATTTAGTTCCTAATGTGGGCTAAGAAAGTCAGTAGAACATTTTTAAATGTTCTATTTTACTTAAATACTTAAATACTTACACCAAATTCTGCTAATGAATAAAACAATCCTAAAATGAACACAAAGAAAGCAGTGTAAAAAATATAACTCAACCACAAATATGAATTGAGTGGAATTCAATTTATAATATTTGCCTGAATATATTTCTTTTCATTGTTGGAAAAGTCAATAGCTAGCCATTATCTGCTTATGGCTAAACAGACATTGGACTTTTTACCTACTGCTAGCATTGAAGATCAAAATAAAAAATAAAAATCCTTTGTGCTCTTTGCTACTTGCCCTAGAGATTAGCATGGGGCTTTCTATGATTGAGGAATAGCTAACAATTCTAACATTATGCAAGTCCAGCTTTGACGTATTTGGAGCTTATGTGGGATCAGAATAAGTTTCTGTCTATCCTACTCATAGATTCAATCTTGAAAGGTACTACTTTCCAAGTTAAGAATTCATGGTGGAGAACCACTTTGACAATTTAGACAGAGTTCACTTTAACACTAACACTGCACACTTCCAGGTATATATTCAGAAATTTGCCCTAGTGCAAATGATGTCTCACAATTTGTCAAAGCCCAGAGATCATTTTCTTTCATTCAGCAGCAAATACTCTATTTTCAACACAGAATGGGACATTCTCGTTTACCTTAATAATAAATATACCAGAAAGAGCTTGATAAACAACACAGGACAAAGCCATCTCTATGTTCCAGCAGATGGCCTATTAAAACAACACTATTTTATTCATCTCCTTACATTTAATTTTGAGCAATAAGTTAAAAAAAAGTCCACTGGCATAACTTTTTAAATGAAACAGGATCTGCAGAAACAGAAAATAAGTGAAAAAGAGCACAAGGGAACTGAGCCTAAGGAAGCTGAACTCTGCTTCAGTTTGTTTGCTTTTCATTTTTCATGTTCTATCATTAAGAATCCGACACATATCACATCCCTGTATTTTCATCTATCACAATAAAACACATAAATTACAAACACCAGAACAAATCAGTAGTATGCAGAAATGTGTCAAGCGTAGTACTCCTCTTTACTGCATTCCAGGTACATCTTCCACCGACTACGTCAATATAATTAGGCTCTAAGTTTGCTCTTTTCCTTTCCAGCTACTGCATTCCAGAAATGTGTTTTCCATCTATGAACCATGAAACTTTCATTGCCCTTCAAAAAGAGAACGTGGCTATGCAGTACTTGAGCAAATAGTTTAAATCTTTTTTTTTCGAATATTAATGGCATTGTTTTTAAATAATCATGATTTTTAAATAAATTAATATTTTACTGTCTGTAATAAAATCAAGCAAGTATTAGAGAAACACTGAGATACACACACACACACACACACACACACACATCCAGTTATTCACTCATTTCAGCTTAGGGTGGAATTGTGTACATTTTATTGAAGCATAACTAAAAAAGCATTTCTTTCCAGCAAGTTTGTTGTGTACTTACTTCTCTGACTGCAGTAGAAAAGATTTCTTCTAAAATTTGTTGAACTTTAAATATGTTGAGCATAAAATAGGTGTGAAATGAGACAACATGTTCTTTCAGAACCTGTAAAGCAATAATCAACCCTATAACTTGGGAAATCCGTGATTACTAATGAGGTGAGCAGAGCTGACAACAGCTGCTAATTGTAATCATAATCTCATGTTGCAAGAGGCAGATGTATTTCAGAAAATATATTTGATGAACAGATTTACTGGTGGGTTAGAAATAGTTCCTAAGATTTCCCTGGAAAATATTTCTCCATGATAC